AAACAGTGCCAGGAATTCCTCCGTTGCACACACAAATAAAGATCTGCTGCAAGGAAATGTTGTTTGCGACGCCTGTATGGAAACTGTAATAGGCAACATGGCTCCTATGACGGGGGAAAAAACAGGTATGCTTGAGCATTCTGCCTTTTTATGGTCGCATCTTGTGACATTGGTCCGTGTCTTTGGTCTGTTGTGTTCATATATTTCATTCAAACCACACCAGAGTTCATTTGGAAGTGGACTGAGACCCACTTTTTCAGTGCGTACCAGGGATTGAATGGCAGCATTCACACTTATTCAAATGAACTGTACTAACAGAGCAATCATACCAGAGTTTGTTTTAATCAAATCAAACCAAACCTACCAAGTGTGAACCATCCTAAGTGGACCATCCTATCTCTGTTGAGTAAACAATGTGTGAATGTATCGATGTGTGTTTATGTATCGAAACAAATCTTCAGATAACAATAGATTTAGCTGGAATGGAAAGATGATGCTTTCCATTGCCAAACACAAGTTGAAACACTGTCTTCCATCAGCGGATGAGTGTAAATCTATGATATGAGAGAAATGATATGAGAGAAAGACAAAGTTCTGCCATAGTGGCTGGGCTGCAGCAGTGCATTCTGGGTCTCCGAAAAGGCCGACATGAGATCTCATCTCCTGTATCCGTCTCCTTTCATCTCATCTGCTCCAACATAATTGCTTTGGGTCTCCTGAGTAACATAGTGCTGATTGGTAACTCAATAACTTCTTTACAGATGATTAGATGAAACGTCAGTGTGTTGGAGAGGTTTTCAGGGTGTGCTAAAATCAGGAATGGAGGACAAGCGGCCAACTCAGGAGGGAGACACGGACGTCTGCATGTACTTGAGATTGAAGTCATTTGGTTCAGCTCTTTCTGGGTTATTTTAAAAACGGTAAGTGCTGTGACAAATGAGCAGGGAGGGCTTTGTATTGTTAACTTTGAACTTGACAGTAGTCCTACATTTCAATTAAACTGAAGGACACATCACCTTTGTAACAAAAGATAACTTGAAGCTGGCTTCATATTGACTCCATATAGTTGAGCGTGCATAATATTAAAAAAGCATTAAAAAGGATAGTTGACCGAAAAAATCTCTTCGGTCAGTTCCTCGCACAAAAATATAGTGCTATTTGGTAATTATCTGGAGCTTTTTGTCATTTTTGGATATCCTTTCATTGAATGGAATGAAAGCTTTGTCAATATTCCTTTTTGGGGGCTACATCACACAAGATTTGTCTCGACACAGAAAACATTTCATGACTAGATAGATTTTTTTTTGTTTATTGAAAGTGTGGTTTATGTCATCTGAATGTGTGGAAAGCTTTTCAGAGAAGATAAGGCAACGTTATTTTAGCACAATTCACAACCAGTGGTAGTTCAGAAAAAAAAAACTTCGGTCTTCCGACCTTTTACCATCATGTATTCTCAAAGATATTCAGTCAACTCAATTCATTAATGGGAGGGAGAGAGAGCAAGACAGTTTGAAGACGGTGAGAGTGCGCGCGCGACCGGGTCTTTCCTTTCTCTCTGCTCGTTCTCTCAGTTAACCCTTCGGAGTCTTGTTTTTTTCGGCTGTTTTTGAGTAGTTTTTATTTTTTTTATTTTGCGACATAAAAAAATGTTTACCATACCAATGTTTGGTATCATTTTTTTCAGCACAACATCACCTATATGACCAGACAATTAGTTTTTCACTTTGCTGTACTGTATCAACATACTGGACCCAAAATCACACAAAAAAACACAAAATCCGAATAGAAAAAATATAGCTTTTTTACCACAAAAAAACACAAACATGCTCAATGAAGCATTTTAAAAGGTTTAAAATGTAAACACAAGTTGTACATGTCAACATATACAGGTACAATTCAGATATAATCAAGCTATATACAAAAAAAAAATATTTACAAAAAAAAAGCGGGTGTAGCCAAAGGCTTTCTTTTTTCTTTTTACCTTTGCCACTTTTTAAAACAGTTTATGCACACAATTATACAGAGAGCTATATTTAAGGCCTTGCATTCCCAGAGTATGAGGGTTCCCAAATAGTGCAAATACAACATAAAAAAGGTAAAATTGAGATAAAATCAAACTATATACAGCAAAAAGCAGGTGTGGCAATAGACGTTTTTTTTCTTTTCTTTTTTGCTTAGAAACTCAAAACAATTCATGTACAATTACACAGACAGCTAGATTACAGGGCTTTCATTCATTGAGTAAGAGGGGTTCCTAAATAGTGCAAATATACTATAAAAAAGGTGAATGACCACAAAATCAAACTATACATACTACTATTTACAACAAATATCAGGTGTTTTTTTTTTTTTTTTTTTATCTGTGCCACTCCTCAAAATAGTTTCTGTCAACAACGAGACACAGGGCTACATCACAGGCCTTGCATTTCCATGGTGTGAGGTTCCTTTTCTTCTCCACTTGCTGGCAACGATGGCAGATCCTGCAGCCTTGTGTGGCTTTCTCTTTGACATCTGTAGCCACGCCAATGGCAACAGGAACATGGTCGGTGCTCCTCTGGATGGCAACTCCTGTCTTGTCCACTCCACACAGCTGGGACACCAGTTCTTCCAGGAAGTTCTTGTGTGTCATGTGCTGAACCTGTTGTGTGTGGCTTATCTCACAGTGTAGGATGTAGGCATTTGTTGTAGCAATGTCCACAAAGTGCAGAAACAGTGTACGGTACCAGCGAGCAGTTCTGCGATGGGTTGAGTAATACTGGAGAAGCTGGTCTGACAGGTCAACCCCTCCCATGTTCTTGTTGTAGGCAATGATGGGGGTAGGGCAGGGAATGTCTTTTACTGCCCAGTGTCCATCTCCACCCTTCACTCTCCTCTGGACAGCCTCACCAGAAAACGCTGGATGGATTGTGGAGCACAGCGACACCTCCCGTGTGTCCATCCACTTCACAAAGACCAGGGGGCCCTCTCTGATCCATCTTATGGTGCCTCTCTTGGATTTTTTGTTGAGGGCATTTGCTCTTTTACTAGGACACCCTTTCCTGTTGTCCCTGTAGGTACCACAGGCTCCAAAGTTAATGTTAGCCAAACCAAGGAACAGTTTGGGGCTTGTGTAGAAGTTGTCCATATAAATATGGGATCCTGTCCCAAGATGTGATGCCTGAATGAGGTCCATGACAGCATCATACGACAGTCCATGCATGCTTGGTGTGTGTGACTTGCCCACATACAGATTGAAGTTGAGTGTGTAGCCATTACTTGACTCTGCCAACACAAACAGCTTGATCCCCCATTTTGTTGGTTTGTCCTTCATATATTGGGTCATGCCAGTTTTTGCTTTGGTTGCCACCATTCTCTCATCGACTGCCAGTTCCTTCCTTGGGTGGTAATGAGCCTTGCAGGCATTCCGAATGTCATCCATCAGAGGTTGGATTCTGAACAGCTTGTCATGCTGTGGTGTTCCCTTCTTCTGGTCATTTCTGACATCCTCCTCTGGATCACTGAGGTGGATGTTCCAAGATAACGCCTTGAATCGGTCTCTTGTCATGACAGTGGCTGGAAACGGCACAGACATGAAGTGTTTTTTTCTCCAGTAGTCCTGGAGACTTGGCAGTGACACCAATGATGTGTACATGAGGAGACCTAGGTATTTGTATAGTTCCTCAACTTCAACATCAGTCCATTTGTACTTATTCCCCATTTCCTGTTTTTTTTGCTGCCTGCTTGTTGGTGTTTTTGCAGAGTGTCTTCATGGTATCCCTGGCAAAGTACAGCTGGAACAGGTCCATTGGCGAGTGTACTGAATGCATATTCACCTGGGCTCCTGGTGTTCTGCGGGGCATGAACCTACTGGTTTGTGGGGCAGTATCAGGATCACTCTCGGTTTTCCAGGGCTCAGAGCTGTGGTGTGGCTGTCCTGACTTTGCTGGAGATCTTGATCTGGTTTGACTCTTCCTTCCACCCCCTCTCTGTGTAGGCCTCTGTCTGCTTGTTGTCGGAGTGGTAGATGAACCAGGCTGCTCATCATCTCTGTACGTCAAGACACATGTAAAAAGATTAAAGATTGTACATCAAAGTACAAGATGCTCATTGGCACATATGCACAACAATTACAGTGAAGAAGTCGTTGGCAAAGAAATGCTTGTTCACACAGCCACACACACACACAGACAGACAGAGACACAGACACACACACACACACATATACACAAAATAATATACAATAAGCAAGCAATAAATGTACAGTACAACACAATGTACAATAACAGACAGACAGAGACACACACAGACAGACAGAGACACACACACAGACAGACAGACAGACACACACAGACAGACAGACAGACAGAGACAGACACACACACAGACAGAGCAAGAGACACAAACACACACACACACACACACACACACACACACACACACACACACAGACAGACACACACATACACACAATATACAATAAGCTAGCAATAAATGTACAGTACAATACACAATGTACAATAAATGTACAATAACAGACAGACAGAGACAGACAGACACACACACACACACACACACACACAGAGACACACACACAGAGACACACACACACACAGACAAGACAGAAACACACACACGCACACACACACACACACACACACACACACACGCACGCACACACAATATAAGATACAATAAGCTAGCAATAAATGTTCACAAAAAGTTTCTCACCTCTCGTTCTGAACCACAAAAGCCGAGTCGTCAATCTCATCATCACCACTTTCTGATTCCGACGATGAACTGTAAACAACGTCCTGGTCGTCCAGTCGATAGAACAAGTCGAGGGCTTGTTCAAGCGAAAACATTCGCTTCATTTTACTTCCACAAAACACTCTAAATCTACTCCTAAACTACCTAAATTATCTACACTACTCCACTCCTCTAAACTAGCAATAATATCTCTTTCAGTATGTCTCTGCTTGTCAACTCCGTCAATCTCCCGCCTTTCAATTTCGCTTCTTTGCTCAGTTGGCTCCTCCTCCACTCCCTAAAGTGTGCAGCCTGAAGAGCAGATTCAGCAGATTTACACATTTTTCTCCGTTTTGTTTTATGACAAAAACCGACAAAGTTATTAGAATAAATGCAACGCCTGTCGCATCCCATCTTGCGTTCTTCTACGAACGCGTCAATATTTTTCAATATTTTTTTTATATAAAGTTTAAATGATCATATCTCCGTTTTTATTTGGTCAATCAACTCAAAACAAAAAGTAGAATAGAGTTTCAAGCCAGCACTTTCGACAGAAGTGGACGGCAGTGCTTAACGTGACTTTGTTTTTATGCTTTGACGTCTTAAACTGGTCATGTGACTTGATCACGCCAGCGTGATCGGCGACTCGGAAGAGTTAAACAAGCGCAGCAGTCAGTCATCTATATCACTCACCGGTCAAATAAGGCTTTGGCGGGACAAAAATACACCTAAGGCTAACAGAAAACAGCGCACAAGTTCCAGTCTTCTTGTACTTGATGATTAAACTGACAGGACTTGCGCTCGTAATGTAGGAGCTCGTGCAAAAACAAACATCCCCACCCCCACACTCACATCTACACACGTCAAATACACAGGAATGATTATCGGCCTGTTCACATCGGCCCTATTTTGACATCGGAACGATACCGATGTGTAAAATCGGCCATATCGGGCGATTTTATATCGGCGGCCGATATATCGTGCACCACTAGGATTAGCCATTTCTTTAAATGCCGTACATTTAATAATGATCAGTGTTGGGGAAAGTTACTTTTTAAAGTAATGCATTACAATATTGAGTTACTTCCCCAAAAAGTAACTAATTGCATTACTAAGTTACTTTTTATGGAAGATTAGATTAGATTACTTTTTCTTACCTGGCTATGGCTTGATCTCCTTCAGCTCTTGCAGGTGTTTTTTTTTTACTTTTTGAAGTTTTTGTACTATTGTTTAACGCAGTAATGCAATCAACAACAGCCTAATGAGCCTATATAACCTACACCTTCATTTTCTTTTAAAAACAATTATATATTGAATAATAATAGAATGATATTATATTCAAAGAACTTCCTGATGCATGCCATATAAAAGATCTATAAACATTACAGATTATTGAAAGTGTTTGTTACTTTTGTACTTGTGGGTAGACTATGGACTGCATAAAGTAAATTCACTGTCCATAATAAAGAGTGTAATATAGGCTAGATAATTGCTATTATGAAATAAGTTATATTAGACAAAATACATATCTTAAATATTTAAAATGTTTAATAACTTCGAGAACAATAGGATGATACAAGAGAACAAACAACATCACCAATTAAACATAAAATTTGTCAACTTTAAAATGTGAAAGATTTCACATGGCATAAATAAATGTACAAGTTGATTCCAATAGATCAAAACTCTTGAGTTTTCTATTAAGTGTCCTCAAAACAAAATCCATTTTATGCAACAAAAAAAAGTCCAGATCACTTCTGCAATGCAATGGGGGAAAAAAGTATTATCTTAATGTATTTTAATACTAAGAGTTTTGCGATCGGGCAGCACGCCCCCCGACCTTTTCCCTGTCACGGAGATTTTGCTGATGATATTACGAAATGTGGGCACCTTCATAGTGGACAGTGGCTGCATCTCCTCAACAATAAAAGCAGCAAACAATTTTTACCTGGTGGTGACCGTGAACTGAAATCAAGCTTTTGTTGTTTAGCTTTAGGCGGGGTGCAGGTATAATTCGTCTCTCTCTCTCTCTTCCAACTCTGTAGTGCTGAGCTTTGCATGCAGATGTTTTTTTTTTTTTTGAAGTGGTGTTTTTTGCAGTTGACAAGAGCTTTTCACCTACACATAATCTACACTTAACGACTATTCCCTTCTTTTCTTCGACGATTTCAAAATAATGAGAATATTTCCAATCGCAGTAATGAAATGCCCTGGCCTGCCATCTCCGTTTCTGACTAGCGTCATACGTGCGCGATTCTATGTGACTACGTTCATTTTAATTCAGTACTTTAATTTTTTGAATGCACATTAATTAAACTGAAAAGTAACTCGCATTACTTTTTTAAAATATTAATGTGTACATTTATAAAGTAATGTGTTACTTTACTCGTTACTCCAGAAAAGTAATATTATTACAAAATGCACGTTATTTATAACGCGTTACCCCCAACACTGATAATGATGATAATAAAAAGCTCATATATTTGTAATAAAAAAAATCCAAACTTACCATAATATATTTAAGAGTGTGCATGTGGCAAGTCCCCCTAGTACAGCTCTTCTGAACCATAAGACCTGTCCAAAATACTTCCATTACAATGTAGAATCCTCTTGACACAGTTTAATGCACAACAAAACGGATTAATATGAAAATAATTATAATAATATTACCTGTGTTTTAACATGGGAGATTTCAGAAAATAAAAAAGGCATGACGTTGACAATCCCACCTGATTGGAAGAAACATATCAGTCAAGATAATGTTGACATTTCTTAACCAATGTTAACTGAAAATGCAATGTTTAGCTTAATGAGCTACCTAAACTTACCATTAAAAATTACTTTTGATGGTGTAACAACCTATTCAAGCTGATTCAATCATATTGAAGAGTATTTTTTAATACCAGATAATTTAGATATCACAACATGAAACACATTTACAGTGATTTATCAAATTAATTAAATGGCTGAAAAGTGTTCAATAAACACCATTTAGGTACATTCCTCTGGCTGGCTTAAGCATTGCTGGCTGGCATTTAATAAATGGAAATTTAAAAAATATATTTTGTACACTATAATATTCCATCAATCACATATAAGCTTTTCAGGAACAACTTGTAACTAAAGCAGTAAGCAATGAAATACTTAGAGAAATGGTTAAAGAATATTTTTTAGACATGTGAATACAATTTTTAAAAAATACCCATGCAAAAAACACACAATAAAAGCTTGTTTAATAAATACATTTTAAGTTTTATTCTATACATTTATTTTAAAATTCTCCTGTCATGTAATATTCTTTATTAGACTAACTATAGGCTGTTTACAGTTTCCATTTGAATAGCAACTTGCCGCATTCATTTAAAAAGTGCAGTCACAGTTGTGAGTTTATTTGCATTTTAAAATGGCTTCGAATGAGGCTCATCCAATCAGAACAAGTCTAAATGAAACGGTCCATTTTAAAAGTCTACCCTCAGTGTTAGTAACTCTTATAAAAAATCTAGGGAATTGAGAGCAGCTCTATAAATGTTCTCTTAAAAGTGCTGACAGTCACAACTGTGTTTTCTCTTGCACCAAATGAAAATCATCAGTAAGATAAATACGAACGAGGAGCAGGGGACTAAACCCAGTACATTACAACAGATGGCGCACAGCGAAAGGTAAGAGCCCTTGTAATTGCAGATGCTCCCAAGAGCCCAAAACCAGATTTCAGACAAATAAACCAAACGGTGGGCCCTTGTGAGACTGCTCCACTTTTTGTACCAATTCTACAGCATCTGCATTATCATACAGGCACATGGTTTCTCTTACCATTGCTATGCTGATGACACCCAGCTCTACCTCTCATTTCAACCAGATGATCCCACAGTAGCTGTACGGATCTCAAGCTGTCTGGCGGACATCTCGGCATGGATGAAAGAACATCACCTGCAACTCAACCTGGCAAAGACTGAGCTTCTCGTCCTCCCTGCCAATCCGTCTCTACAGCACGACCTCACTATCCAGCTAGATTCATCCTCAATCACCCCATCAAGGTCGGTCAGAAATCTTGGAGTAATCTTTGATGATCAGCTGACCTTCACAGACCACATTACAAAGACAGCTCGATCATGCAGGTTTGCTTTGCACAACATCAGGAAGATCAGGCCTTTCCTAACTGAGCATGCAACACAACTTCTCGTCCAGGCCCTGGTCATTTCTAGGCTTGATTACTGCAATGCTCTTCTGGCTGGACTTCCATCATGTGCAACTAAATCTCTACAAATGATCCAGAATGCTGCAGCTCGTCTGGTCTTCAACGAGCCCAAAAGGGCCCACGTCACTCCTCTGTTCATCTCTCTGCACTGGCTACCACTCGCTGCTCGCATCAAGTTCAAGGCTTTGACGCTTGCTTACAGATTGACCACAGGTTCAGCTCCCTCCTACTTCCACTCACTACTACAAGTCTACATCCCTACCAGAAGCCTACGATCGGTCAATGAGCGACGGATCGTGGTACCATCACAGCGGGGCACAAAATCACTCTCCAGAACATTCTCATTCACGGTTCCATGCTGGTGGAATGATCTCCCCACCCTCATCCGGAATGCAGAATCCCTGACAACATTCAAAAGACAACTGAAAACTCATCTCTTCCGGGAGCACTTAACATAAAAAAAAAAAAAAAAAACTTTCCTCTAAATCCTCGCTTGCCTGGCTTATGCTACTCCGAGCTATGTCTGAACTTTGTATTTTGAGCACTTCTTGCGTTGCTTTTGCCTCTTAACGATGACTCGCTTGGTTTAGTCCTCAGTTGTAAGTCGCTTTGGATAAAAGCGTCTGCTAAATGACTAAATGTAAATGTAATGTAAATGTAAATGTAAACCAGGCAGATACTAACAACCTTGTGACCGCCGCACAGTATGCTGACATTCATTATACGCGTACCCCCCCCCCCTCCTTCTTTTTGTAAAATGCTCCAGTATGATACCGGGCCATCTTATTCCCTTCTTGTCAGCAGGATCAGAGACAGATAGACTCCCTTAGCTGTCACTATAAACAAAGCCTGGCCTTGTGACTCCTTAAAAGCAGACGCCCATTAGGTACCTGGAGGTTCCACAGGGGCGTATGCTGGGCCCTTTAAAAAAGCCGTTGAGCAAGCAGCTGTCTATTCAAAGGTGTCACAGTGGCTTTGGCTGTAAATGAGAGCAAGGCGATGTGTGAGACTCTCGCAGGCGGATTTTGTTTGTTCTGTTGACAGGAGCCTCCTGCGGGCCAGCAAGGTTTGGCTGCCTGAGGACCTTACAGCTCTGAGTGTGGCAGCCAATTAACAGGATTAGAGAGAGGGACAGAGAGAGAATTCCCTGGACTCCTGGCTAACATCTACATTGTCACAGTGATAAGGTTCGAGAGGTACTTTCATTAACTGCTCAGCACACCAGCTGCAATGAACACACACCGGTGTCTCAACAGATTCCAAATCTCTTCACTTCACTAAACCCAAACACACTGACATTGCCACTGCCCACACACTACACGAACAGAGGAACAAAATATTCTTCTTACTGGAATACACTGGCATCAGAAAGCATTTAAACACTTCAGTTCAACTTAAAAATGTATGAATAGCATTCCATTACATAAAATACAAATCCAAAGGCCGTTCATTTTAAGACAAAAACACATTTCAAGCTAAATAGTCCCAAAAATGAAGTTTGTTTGGTTTAAACATGCCAAACAATGGCCTTATTGTTCAAAATGAAGTAAACAGTACTTATGCAAATGAAATTGACTTCATGGCCAGTTGGTTAAGTTGGCATGAAACGGAAATTGCAATCAGCTTTTCTTCTCTATTGTGACCTATTGTAGGGCGAGACTTTATTTTGTTTGTGATCTAAGGTTATTATTTTGAACTAAAACTAATAATTAAAAAATGAAAAATCATTTCCGTTACTTCAAACTAAATAAACGTTAACTGAAATCGAATAAAACAACATTTCTCATTTGCTTTTAGTTTAACGAAGTGCTAAAATAACTAAAACTAACACTAATAAGTAAAAGTTAATAAAAGTTATGTCAACAGATAAATAATTTATAATAAACACTGCAATATTCTTATTAAATTTTATTTGATGGTGGTGACTTTAAAAGCAATTGCAAAAATTAAGTTTGTTCTGGGAGAAGCTACAGCATCATTTGTTGGATGGTGATGTGTTACTTGATGTTTTGTTTTTGATGCAATAAAATTGTATTTTTGAGTGTGACGAAAGTGTCCAAATACTTTTTTGGGGGGAAAACAACAAGAGAGGTTTGTCTTACCGAGAGCTACTGTTCCCATTAGAAAAGGTTTCCCGATTTGGGTGAAGTCATTCGTGGTCTCTTGGTGAACTTCTGAACCCACAACAAATGTCACGGACACCTTGGGGCAAAGAAATTATGACAGGCTGTAAGATGCACGGCACAGAGCATCCGATGTAATCCAACCCACCAATAGATTCTCATTTCAAATGACATTTGCAGGGATATACAAAAGCAAAGAAAAAGTGCAATGACAAATGTCTTGATAGTTTCTGTCAAGGGTTACTGTGGAAATGCCTTGGGGGAACACAACCAAAAAGTGTTTTACCACAAATTGATAGTTTTTAATGTCATGACCACTGAAATTGAGAAAGAGATGAGATACAATATACAATGTGAAACAAGATACAATGTGAGAGATGAGAGAGAGAGAGAGAGAGAGAGAGAGAGAGAGAGAGAGAGAGAGAGAGAGGGTGTGTATGTGTAAGAGAGAACAATAGTCCTTGACCTGGATATTTGTGGTGCATGTCTAGCTCACAGCTGAAATAATATTTACAGGCACTATGCGATAAACATGCTGCATCATTGGGATAATTTTTATTAGCTAAATGATTTGAGGTGACACAGACATGTGCAATTTTAATCCAGTACAATTAAATCTATTTGTTTAGTATGTGGGAACTCACAAAATAAGCATTCATTTATGCGGCTGAGCAACTAGAAAGGCTGGATGATACAGCTAAAAAAATATATATTCACCTTTGAATATGTTTTTATTTATTTTTTATTTTTTTGCTATTGTTTTCAGAAGAAGAATCATTTAAACCAATGCAGTTGTTGTTTGTTTAAAATAATGATTGCATGTTTTCCAAACCGTTACTGAACACATCATTTTCATTTATTTAATGCACAAATATTACAACAAATAATAATAACAACTTTTATGCATTTTTTTTCTAATACTAATACTAAAAGTAATTGAATACACGAAATTCGATATTTAAAACATGACAAAAGGAGACTTTAAATTTTCGATTGACAATGCAAATAACCAAATTTCTGAAACGATTCATCAAAACGGACAGTTTGAAAGGATTCACATTAATGAATCAAACTCTCCAAATCTAGCAATTTATCTACTGAAGACGACGCTATAAAACTAAATTATTGACTAACTCTTTATTAACACGTTCATACGGATACTAGGAAGTGGTTCTGGTACTCTCTTTAGGAAAAATAATAGGTAAACAGAAAGCACATTTCATCACTATGCACACCACGCAATTTTAAGAAATACAGCACTGTGTTAGCTGCTAGGCCCGGCCTATTATAGCTTACTACAGCATACACCAGTATGCAAGAAGCTAGTATTTATTGAATATTAAATATTGCCAGTTACCTTGTCTATTTTTTCTCCAACCAAAGTATTCCAAAAACCCACAGCAAAACCGACTATTGCGCGTCTCAGAACAGTAGGCTGTTTCTGAATGAATCAGTATGAACGAATCATTTGAGTGAACGATTCAATGATTCACCCATAATGCTCTTGTCGCCCCCTACAGGAATAACAAAACAATCACCATTCGCCACCGCTAATGAAACACAAGTGGAGTGGAAATACAAATCGTGAGCCATTTTATAGTCCATTATTTGCCAGTTAAATAATAGAGAACTACAATGTAACTAACAAGACTGCTAATTTAAATAGACCCCTCATAATGCGTCTCTTTCCGGTGATAGGCAGAATGCGAGATTCAGATCTTGTTCGGTGCTGTTATTATTGTGTTCCAGGAAATCACAGGACCTTCCTGTTGTGTTAACCCCAATTCTCACTATAGTCGGATTGACAGAATTTCCTACACGACTGGTCACGGGAGGACGGTAGTACTGAGCAGAGAGGGGCTGCTCTTCTATCGGGAGATGACAGCCCACCTGTGCGGCCAGACTCAGTGTGCAGTCGCGTCCGAGCTGTGAGATTGTTAATGGAATTTTGCAGCACTACGTGCCCGTGAGAGAGCAATGAGAAGCTCCTAGAAACAGCCTGCCTACATCTCACTGCCCACACATGCAGGGCCAGGAAATTACTCCCAATGAAGGCAGACATCTCACTCCCTCTAAAGCTCAGAAAGAGCGAACGTTTTGGATACACACACACACACCACATTATTTCTTTTTAAATTTAAGACGTGTGGTGGTGTGTGTGTGTGTGTGTGGGTGTGTCCAAAACGTTCGCATTTAACAAAGGCTATACATTTTATTTGGTTCATGTAATTTGATATAATTTCTACTATACTTTTTAAAATATGCACTTTTAATATTTAAAAAGAAAAACGTCTGCAATGGGCAGCAATGTTGCATTTATTGCATCAAAATAAAGTAAAAAAAAAAAAACATTAATAGTGTTAACTCACAATTTAAAAGAACTGTTTTCTATTAAATATATTTCGAAATGTAATTTATTCTTCAAAGCTGAATTTTCAGCATCATTATTCCAGTCTTCAGTCACATGATCTCTCAGAAATCATTCTAATATGCTGATTTGGTGCTCATAAAATATTTCTTAGTAGTATCAGTTGAAAACAGTTGTGCTGAATATTTTTATGGAAAACTTTTAAATATTTTTCAGGATTGTTTGATAAGATAAAAAACAACAGAAATCGTAATCTTTAACATCATAAAGCTTTTGGGTTTGCAGATAAAAAAAATAGATTAAAAAATACTGACATAAAAACTTACATTTTCAATACTTTTTATAATGTAACATTTTCATTTAATCTTTTCTGTAAAATACCTTGATAGCATCTGTCATGCGGCTTTAATGTGTACATGGCCTTTGATTATCTATAAGTGGAATTTACGGGTGACAAATAAATATTTCTATAACCATTTATTTCAGAACAAGCATGAATGTGTAGTACTGTATGAGTCTCTGAATTAGCTTTTTTCTGTGAAATTGTAATTCGGAGAGTTTATCAATGAGCAAAAGAGGAAAAGCTGCAGAGAGTATCTTTTGTTTGTAAGTACACATTCCGCTTTCAAGGACCAGGGAAGAGTGCCCTGGATTTACTGAGAAGACATTCCATTAGATGCACACGTGTGGCTTTAAGCACTGGTAGAAAAAAACAAGATCACATAAAAGTGGCTCTCTGTTTCCTTTTAAAAGGCCTGGATGGTGGAGGGAGACCAAGCAAAGACTGTGATTAGCCTCTTTCTAACTTGACATTGTCAAAAATCTCGAGTGAGATCTAAGAAAATGAAGTGTAAAAGCATATATTACCCAACAGAGGCTGTTCGCTCAAATCTCATGGCTTTGTCAGAGAGTGCCCTACCCAGCCCTTCAACTTCTCTCCTTGTTCTCTCAGTTCATTCCTTTTGTTTTGAGCATTGCTGGAGCTGGGAAAGGGCAGAGGTGCTCTCCCAGAGGAGAAGTTCTGGTCTGCTTAGCATTCATGTTGGCATGTTTAACACCGAAATAGGGATACGTTCACAACCTGATTGGTCAGCTTTCATGACACAGCCTATATTTCGAGATGGAACTTAATGAACATCCAAAACAATGCTGTGTGCTGGCCTAAATGTGCTCGTAGAACGTGCGTAGCCTACACATGATGGTATTTAGACCAGCTGAGAACTCGTGAAGAACTTATAAAATGTCTAAAGGAGTCAAAACAACAACAGGCATCCCTCCGTCACACACACAAAGACACTATTTGCAAGGAGACGCAGTTCTGATGCCTGTACCGAACTGTGATGGGCAATATCCCGACTATGAGTCTCATCTTCCCATTTTTGGTTCGTTTACATGTCTTTGGTCCGTGTTGCACTCATATTCTATTCAAACCGCACCAGAGTTCGTTTGGAAGCAGAGAGAGACCTATGTTTTCAGCGGCCTCTGTCTTGTTTGGTGCGCACCAGGGTTCGGATGACAGCGTTCAGCCGTCCACCCTTATTCAAAATGAACCGTACTAACAGAACAATCATGCCAGAGTTCATATTAATTAGGGCTGCAACAACTAATTGATAAAATCGCTAATAATCGGTAATGAAAATCATCGACAACGAATGTCATTATCGATTAGTCGCGTCTGCCCACCGTGCACGGAAAACTTCTGCTAGTCACATCCAATTACAGCAGAATAACGCATTTCTTTGGACAAACTGCATCTAAAAATAGTGGAGGAAACAGAGTAAGCTGCTGCGAGAAAGGTACGTAACCCAAGCTGCCCAAAACATGAGAATTCTTTATTTTAAGCTTCAAGCTAATGCATTAGCGTAATGTTTACATGGCTTGCCCTCTCAGGCGCTTTGACAGATGCCTGTGCTGTTTAATGTGTGATATGTTTCCTCAGCGCAAAACTTTCATTTTACGGTTATTTAATATCCTTATCTGTACAAATTCACACAAGTATTTCCATTTTGCATGAAGGCTTGTCCTGTCTTCAGACTTGAATGAGCGCCGGTGCGCGCATGCACGTCAAGCATTAGAGGGAGACAATTAAAATTCAGTGCACAAATATTCATTTTGCTGAAATATGTGTTGTTGGACGTTAAAGGTGCATTGCGCAACTTTTCATGTTAAAAATACCTGTTTTCTATCCTATACATGCTTAAAGAACTGCCTGATGGGCTGAATGAGCCCTTCTCTGCGCACTGAGATTGCCTCTATAATCCTGTACAGTAAAATATATAAGAGGGATTCGGGCTCGAATTTGAGACTGGGCGTGACGTCATGCGCCTTCACGCTCACCAGGCTGTGTCTCGCAGGTTTGTGTATTCGCCGGCGCCGCCATTCTCCGCATCAGCGGACAACTCGTGCGTCAAAGGTAGAAGATGGATTCAAAGAGACCGGCTTGTAGTCTATTCCAAACCCCAACGCAAACTCCACGTAAAGTAAAGAAAAGAAAAAATTTGTCTAGTGCCACCAAAAGGTCCAAATTGGAGTCAGACAGGCGTCGGAGTAAGACGAGAGTCAACCTCGGGAAGGCATTCAACAAATGGAGAGATCTCCGGTCTGCTCTTGGTCTCAAACGGGATCCTCAGTTGTCTTTTTTCTTGATAAAACGGTAAGATATAGCCCAGTCTCTAATGTTTGATACGGCCAATCTATGTATGACAACAAAT